CATCCACTCCATATTTCCTGTGACATTCCCATTACTCATGCCCCAGTGCACAATCCTTATTACTGTTGCCACTTCTGGGTTATTTCAATTCTATCTGCCAGAAATTATTGTTCCTGTAATTGTTCACTAAATGTTGTAGGGAATATCATAGAAACGAAACACAAACTATATAACCATATAAAAAAGGCTTCAAATGGCATTTATACAGTGATCTTCATCTTTTCTTGTAAAATATATAGCAATTCTTCCCACATTAAAGAAGAATTCTCACTTAAATACACCTGATGAAGGTCCTTAGAACTCTGCTACTTGCAACTATGTAGCTCAGTTCTCTAAGAAGTCATCTTGTACCAAAAAGAAGCCAAAGAAAGATGAGACTCCTGAAAGGAAGAATTCCACTTATAATATTGCGATACAGAAATTTACCTACATTTTGTCTCCTGCCTGTTCATTGTAAAATCATTAATGTTTATTTGTATAAGCCTTCTTTCCATCTGTGTTTGTCATTTGGGATCTCTTCCTTGTTTTTGTCCTCATGATCAGCTTTGCATTTTTTTCCAAAGTTTGTCTGGAAAAACATATTTCATTTTCTCCTTCGTGTGCTATTGTTTTGTATTTTAAAATTGCTGAAACATAGACTAATGCCACTCTTAAATGAATACAGCTTGATTTTAGGTCTGGTGTCTAAATAGTACGTCATCACCTTAGTCCATAGATCAATGAAGTGAGCTACTGTAATAGTGAAAACAATAGAAAAGTTTTGAGGAGAAATATCAATGATATTTTGTGTTTTGTGTTTTGTATTTTGTTTTCACCAAAACCTTTTCTCACACCTTAACTGTTTCTAATTGATAACCCTTAATAAAGACAGAAAATGCATAACTCTGATTCCTCTTCATCATTGACCTGTTTGGTTTGGTTATTTCCATTCTAGGTACCTCTGGTATCCTGGTTTTACAAAAAGGAAGGTTTGTTTCAACACCTAATCAGCCTGCTGCTGGGGCTCTTCAATCTGGGAACAAGGAAGTCCCTCTGCGTAGGCTGGAATTCATAGATTCATAGAAACCAAGAATGGTTTGGGTCGGAAAAGATCTTAAAGATCATCTAGTTCCAGCCCCCCTGCCATGGGCAGGAACACCTTCCACTAGACCAGGTAGCTCAGAGCCCCAACCAATCTGGCTTTGAATACTTCCAGGAATAGAGCATCTACAACTTCTATGGGCTACAAGTTCCAATGTCTCACCATCCTCACAGACTTGAGACACTTGGATTTCTTTCCTACCAGAGATCTTCTATATGAATACCTCAAAGCAGGTCTAACACCTTCAAGGACCTCCATATCTGCCCAGCGTCAGCGCAGCTTGGAGGAAACCACACCAGTAATTCCTGCTGAATCCACCACTACTGCAGCTCTGGCTTCAGTTTTCATCCTTTCTTCTACTGAACTAGTAATTTAACATGAGTTAACCAGAGGAGAACAAGAAACAGCTTAGTGATTAGGGTACTCCTCTGGGCATCAGGAGACATGGGCACTGCTCTCTTTCCCTGGGATTTACATCTGTATTTGCCATTAACCTTCAGAAAAGAAGCCATAACTGGGAGCACGCCAGGACAGCCTGCTCAGCCAGAAAAATATGGGCCTGATTAATTGTTAATACTTTTATACAGTATGTGACAGCGGTGCCGAGCATCACAGAAGTTGGAAGAAAATTGGGGGAAGTTAGCAAAAAAGACTTGGATTTCAGAGCTGAAAAGTCTCAGTGGTTTACAGGGAAATCTAACCCCTTAATCCTAATTTTTTAAAACCATCTTGCAAAACGTGACTCTTCTTTCCCCGCTAACAAGCTATCCTTAGAAAAAAGGCCCCAGCAAAGCTGCTGCAACAACAAAAAAATCCCGAGAAGGTATCCACCAGAGGGAGTTCCATGAATGCATCAAGCCCAGCCTGAGATATAAATGGTTATACAGCAGCTGAGAAGAGCTGCCTGTGGGCTCCCCAGGACAGACAGGCAGCTTCTGATCAAGATCCTTGGCCGAATTCAGCAAAGTACTGACCCAAATCTGCATAATCTTAAGTGAATACTCAGTGAACTCTAAGGAATTGCTCTGTGCACAGCATTAAGCAAATGTTTTATTAGAGCGGGGTCAAAATACTCAGTGCTTTGCAGGATCATATGAGGAAAAGAAAAGACTCTGTTTACACCTCGGCTTTTATTTTTCCCTCACTGGTTCACTTGTCAGAAAAAAAGCTAAGCCAGGGACAGCCCCGTTTCTGGGAGGCCCAGGGAGGAAGCCTTGGAAGCAAACCCTATTGCTTCCACTCAGGAAGAGTTTTTGATGAGGCTGCCTCTGACACACAGCAATGGCAGCTGCTCTGGATGGATCCTGGCTCTGCCTCCAAAAGAGGAAACAAGAACATGATGACACTTCTCTATCCAGAATACAGAATAAATCTCTGATTCACCATGAAGTTCTACCTCTGAGATCTTTTGTCCAATTCACATTAAAACTATTTTAAGCAGAGGAAAACAGTGTGTGCTAACCCTTTACAAAGGAAAAAAAAAAAAAAAAGTCAAATTCTTGCCTCCATCTGCCCCAGAAAGCAGGCAAAGGATCACGGTGATATCAAGTCATTGTGGAAATATCCCAGATTAAGAATGCCATTTTAGACCTTTTGAATTTTTTCTTTTAGTTGCATCTCCTGGGTGTCCTAGAGTCTTGAACAGTTCCTAATAGAAATTTAAGAAAAAACACTCCACCCTGCTGGAAACCTCAATCCAAATTCTGAGTTATATTAGGATAAAGGAGCACAAGGAGTTAATCCGAGCTATGTGCTTTGACACAATTCCTGGCTAAAGGCACGAAGAGGCTGTGAGAAGACATTAAATGAAGGTGATTCCTGCCTTGATGAGATTATTTTCCAGTTAAAAAAAAAAGAGGCATTGCAATATTAGAAAAGGACAAGGCTGTTGTTTCTGTGATCACAAGAAGGAGGTGCAGAGAGAGTTTTGCCTTAGGACATTCCTGAGCTGGAATTCCAGCCCCAAAAGCAAGCGGCCCCCAGCCCAGGGCACAGTCCTTTGTCACCTCTCCCCTCTCTGTAAACCAGGCATCTTAATACCCCCACTTTTCACAGGAATGCTAAATAAAATGCCTTGAAGATGAAGTGCCTGTGTTGCTGTCACGCTGCCAATACTCCTGTACTGTGCAGATTCATATGGTAACAGGAGCCAAGGTCAGGGAAGCATTAGTCAGTCTGAATTTGGCAAATGGGGGTGTCTGATAGCCCTCACTCGAAGATTAGATTAGCAAGAAATGCCCTGCCTAGGTTATCCTTGAAAAATCACTTCAGCTACTGCAGGAGACGGCTGTTCAGTGCATTAGCAGGGGTGAAAGCAGGACTGTTACTTTCAACGTACATTTGCTTTGCCAGTCTTGACTTTCTGGGCTGTTAGTACTGATTTAAAACTATCAGAGAAATGTAAATATCCCCAGTTTTTTAATGGGGTGCTACCGATCTGTAGATATCCCTAGTGTTCAAGGCCTGGTTGGATGGGGCTCTGGGCAACCTGGTCTAGTGGAAGATGTCACTGTCCATGGCAGGGGGGTTGGAATTAAATGATCTTCAAGGTCCCCTTGCAACCCAAACCATTCTATTATTCTATGATTCTTTGGTTCAATGATTCAATGATTCTATGATATCTAAGGTAATGTTCTTACATCCCTTTCCTTTTTTCATTTCTTTCAAGCATATCCAGGAGGTATCTACTGTCAGGCCATTTTCAGTGGTGGTTACCTCACCATGGAGGTCTTGTTAGTCTTATCCCAAGGTGAAGGTTTTTGGTGCAACGAATTCCTGCAGGAAGAGCATGATTTACCACCCACTGAGCCCCTACATCCACAGGGTGCAGAGCAGCACAGAACACTACCTTGGCACCAGTGTAATTTCTTAACCGACAAGCCCTGTCATAAGCACAGTTGATGAGCTTCTGTGCAATGCCCTCTGCCCACTGTGCTTTCCCTTTTGGAGCCAGATAACTGGGCCCCAGCTGTCAGGCATCCCTCTCTGCTGCTCTGTGCAATGAGTGGCTGCTGGTGAGTTCACCTTTCATTATTGGGTTGGAGAAAACATCTGGGATGACAGCAGGTAACTTCGGTCCTGTGACAGGAGACGAGCAGGTCAGATCTATGAGGCTTGTTTTTTTCATATCAAAAAGGTCCTTTGCAAATCTAACATATTTATTTTAAAAATATTTTCTCCATAGAAAGGCAAACATTAAGAATGAAGAAGAAAATGTCAAGTAGGTTCTCAATACTGTCTGCCAGTCACCTCTAGTCTGCTGTCACTTGTAGTCAAGGTGAAGGGCAAGTCTTTTGAAGCACTACTAATATTATTAGAAATCTAAATATTAGCACTGCCTCTCCATGTCTCCATCAGATAAGACACTAACTTTTCTGTTAGCAGTTGTGAAAGTTGTAGTTCTTGATGCCAGCCATGCTGTGTTCACCAGGAATCTGGAAAGAGGTGGGGAGAGAATATGGATCCAAGCCACTTTTCTTCTTTCCTGCCCTGTAGGGTAAAGTATTGCAGTTAAATGGATACTCAGGTCGTGGTGGTGAAAGCAGGGACTGTTCTTTCTTGTAGTGACACAGTGCTTGTAGTGACACAGCCCTGCTGCCCTCATAGTCCTTCCCTCCTCTTCCCAGTGCGTACACTCACTCTTCAGACAAGTTTTCATTCCCTCTCCAACAGTGGAAAAGCACAAAACAAAATACCAAGATTGGGACAGTGTCAGCACTATCAGGACTTGGGGAAAAATGCCACTAAATCCAGTCTAGAGTATTTTTCATGTAGTTCTGTGGGACTATGACAATAACTATATGTTTTATAGCAGTTCCTTCTGCTCTACATACCCTGATCCTCATTCAGTAAATTACATATGGTACAAGAGTGTGAAACAATAATCCCAAAAAAGAGATATCTCTCAGCTCCACAGTCATTCACACAAAGGTCTGTATTGCTCTATACAGGCAAATCAACTTCCAAAAAGCAACATGTTTCTGGAGAGACAATATTAACAAAAGCAATGTCTGAGGAAAAGCCAAGACAAGGCCGAGAAGGCATTCAGCTGTCAGTAAACACTCCCTCCCCTTTATTCCCTACCACTCCCTTGTCTCCTTTTTCACTGGCACTGGAAAAAATAATTCTGATGAAGCCACAAATGACACAAGGCATATTTAATTCTTACAGTGAAACCAGTGTGAAACACCACTGGACTGAATTAAAGCCATACAGAATGGGGTAAGTCAAAGCAGTTTGTGTAGAAGCATCCCAAGAAAGCCACGAGATTGCTGAAGGCTTGATGGAAGCAGGGCCAGGAGTCACATGGAGATGAGTCCTTACAAAGAGTCATTTCTAACATAATCAAATTCAAAATACAATCCAAGATGAGATTGCTGTAAATAAAGGGAAATTTATTAGTTTCAGAAGGCATCATAACATCGAGTTTCAGAAAAACTCAAAGCCAACATTTTGAAGAAAATAATTTTGATCTGTCTTACAGAATGAGGTATTGGCATCAGGCAGCCCCTCCAGATATGGTTATTCCCATATATGCTCCTTACAAGAAGAAAGGAAAAGGGAGGGGAGGGGAGGGGAGGGGAGGGGAGGGGAGGGGAGGGGAGGGGAGGGGAGGGGAGGGGAGGGGGAGGGGGGGGGGGGGAGGGAGGGGCGGATGGGGAGGGGGGAGGAAAATTGTGTTTATAACCCATAAACCAGAAACCCAGTTCTGCACATGTCCCTGCATAGTTCTCCAGGAGAAGAAGCAGGGCAAGTCTATTTTAGACACCTAAGTCAGATGGTGAGGTCCTGTGTACATGCAGGAATTCAGTCGGCTGCATAAGCAAGGGCCAGACGTTTACATGTTTCCATAGTCACTTAATAGCCACCATATACAAACTTCATAAGTTCTACATGCTTTCAGATGAACAAAACTCCACCTGGATCCTAGTCTTCATCCTTCTCCCATTAAGACTTTCCTAGCTTTAGCTGATATCTTGGTCTCAAAAGAATAGTAACTATGCAAAATTTTCCTGGGTATGCAATAGTAAATGTTTGCTCAGTCCTGGCTCTTTGGCTGGTTCAGCTTCTATCTGAACGTCTAATTCTCACAAACATTGTAAGATAGCCCATTCCCATCTTCAAAGTGGTGGGTTCTTCTTTTCCTTGCCTTGCCCTGTGTGGCAAATTCCTGTTTACGAATTGCAATGTGGCTTTTTGCTGTGCTTCTTTTCTTTCTGCAGCTGTGACTGCAGTGTCTCTTCCAGGATCAGCAAATAACATATTCAGACATCTCGAGACACTTTGCAGGCTATGGTTTTTAGTTTTATTACTTCTTTTGCTGGGTGTGGAAGCTGATTTGTCAGAGAGTAAGAGTAGCAAAACAAACTGGAAACATGTAATACTTCATCAGGAACACAGGGACTTCCCTGTTGGCATAAGAAAAAACATCTTTGTATGGCTGTGGCCTCTTCTAAGACCTGCATGCCCTTTCCAAGGGCCTTCCTCTGCCCTTCTGGGATGCCTCAGTGAGGTGACACCTGAAACCATGGCTTCTGACTGGAGGATGTCTGGGAAATATTCGCACTGGTTGTACATCACCTTCGTATCAGTGTTACAACATTTGAGACAGCAGGTCCAGAGACAAGAAGTGGTGATTCTTTAGCGAGCACCTCCAAGCATGGCTGCAAATCACCTTGCAGGCAAGAATGGCTTAAATAAACCCAAGCAAAACTAAAGTGGTGCTGGTCAAAAAGGTGAAATGTTTTAGAGAGCTCACTTGGGCACTGATCTTGCATCAATCCATAGCACATGTCTGCCTGCTATTCCCATGCTGAAGAAACTTGGAGTCCTCAGAACTTGCACGACAACACTGTCTCAAAGCATCTTGTTTCATCTTTAGATGATAGTTAGAAATTCTTTACTCAGAGGCTGGTAAGACATTGGAACATGTAGCCCATAAAAGTTTTGGATACCCCATCCCTGCAAGTGTTCAAGGCCAGGTTGGATAGGGCTTTGAGCTAACCTGGTCTAGTGGAAGGTGTCCCTGCCCATTGCAGGGGAGTGGGAACTAGATAGTCTTTCTACGATTCTATGATTTTGTAATCTCTGGCAAGCTAAGAAATTCCCTTATTTTCCCCTGGATGAGGTCTCAGTGCCCCATACCTTCGTGATCTTCCATTGACTTCTGTGATCCTCTCTTTGAGTCTGAAAGTAAAGACAATACAAGTCCAGTTCAACTTGCTTTTTCTATGCTTTGGGTCTCCATGAACGACGAAGTCTCCACCAGCTCCCAGGCAGCTGCTGGTAGCAGTGATCAAGCCCATTTTTGTTTCCTGAGATAGTGGTGCTAGCTCGGGAATAAAAAAAAACTAGGATAAAGCTCATGACAATAAAAGAAGTATTTTTTTTCTCCTCACTGGATTCCGGCTATTAGAGGATCCTGGACAAATTGATTCCCTGAACACCTTTAGGAAATTAGGTAAACCCTTCCTGTCTGGATCAGCTCTGTCAAAATGTGACTCAACCCCACATCACTGCAAGTAATTGTTGTTTCTGTTTCAGCTGCAAGGTCATGTCTGGATTAAAATATTTTCAGTTTACTTTTGATGAATATGCACCATCTGAAGGCAAATGAGAAAGGCTCTTTATTTTTCTTTAGAACATTCACAGTTTGCACAGATCTAAATAGTCCTTCCTCTGGGACACTGTCACAAACTGAACTTCCTCAGTAAAGCTAAAATCAGCTACTAGGAAAAAACCTGAACTTCCCCAAGCACTAGAAAATGAGGGAAATGCCCTTATATATAGAAAACAAGGGCTTTCGGGTTGCTATTCTTTCCAAAGTTTTGTATTGTAATTGTCACTCTTACAGTAGCACCTATACAGAGAATTTCGGATTAGAATTTCCCTGAGATAAGATTTGTGCAAAGTCCTTATAGTAGGAGGCAATCCCCATAATAGCAAGGAGATTAATGTTGAAGAGATTGAAGTATTTTGTAGGTGAATGTCCTGTTCAGTAAAGTCGGACAATAAGCTTTCTTTTCACACTCCATTTGCCTCCAGCGAAGGAGGATAAATTAGTCTGCACGGTGCACTGCACTTATGACTTTCAGTCTTCAGGCAAGGTCACTGTGGATAAATCTGCCTAGGAGACCTTGGGCAGGTGTGAACTCACTTGCCAGGGCTCAAGGGCAGATGAGATGTAAGCAACTTTGAGCCAAAGGCTGTGTCACCATGGTGCTGAGGTTATGTCCCTCTGCATGGCTGGTGTAACACAGTGGGAAGAGAAAAGAGCGAGGGGAAGGATAAATCTGTAGTTAGAAAGAACTGAGAAGAGAGTGTTTAAGTGACATCCCTGAGGTCACTTAGAGGCACTGACTGGGCTGGCAACTGGGCACAGGAGTGAAGAACAAGACAAATCTTGTTTTCTGGAGCATGAGCAACCCAACATTGTCTGACCTAGGTTTGGAAAACATGTTGTACAGACAAAGCATTCATCTCCTTTTCTTTCTGACTGTGCTGGCTGCAGCTGAACCAAGCTGCATTTTTCTTCATGACTTTCTTTAGGATTTTCTCTATTCCACCATGGAGCCCCGGGTGAAGTGCTGGATACCAACGGGGAAGGTGAGTGCACACAGAAGGAATGCGAGTGTCGGAGGAAGCCAGGCTGCCAAACAGCATCTGCGTCTGCTGCTGGAGGCTACACTGGTGCTGACACACCGGGTTATTTCTGCTGTGATATTATCCGGGTGTCTAATTAAAGACAAGGTTAAAGACACAGCCTGAGATTTAAAGCTGTGAATACTTGGAAGTGGAGATTTTGGATTTTGCTCTTCTGTTTAAAAGGTCAGAAGCTTTACAGCTCCTGCTAATCTCCAGTGAGATGCATCCCAAACACCCTGTCAGGTAGCACAAACCTTCTTTTAAGACACCAGGACAGCAGAAAAGTATTCTCCTGCCAGGGACTAATCAGAAAAGGTTGCTGCAATGACAAACAATCAGATTTTTCAGACTCAAAAATCCTTGGTAAAAATGTTGTGGGAGGTTTTTTTGATATGGCAAGTTAAGCGGTTTTTTTTATTGCAATCAAGTCATTGCATTGTTTAGGGCATAAAGTGCAGGGATAAATAATATTTTTCCATTAGGCTTTATTTGGAAATCAAAATAAGTACAAAACCATATTTTAAATCCAGCTTCTTATCCTTGCCAAAGAGCATGAGTCACACATTATAGTATTCATGGAGAAGCCAGCAAAGCTTGAAGAAATATTTTGGTGTTAGGTTTCTGTTCCATATCCAGAACCAGACAAACGTAACTGACTAGAGGGTGAAATCTGAGAATAACAACAGTGGTCGAGATTTTTGAACTCAGGTGACTAAGAGATAATTCTGGTTTGGGGGCCTTTGGTAAAAGACAATGTCATTGGTCAATTTTGACATCTACAAAATTTCCTAAAATCTTACAGGCACTGGAGGTGTGCATTGCAAAGGAAACTGGGGTGAGGCTCAAGCACCTACTTGTAGGTGTCTGCATGTGAACTAGGGACTATGCTCTTACAGTAAATGTGGATGGTGCCTCAAAAAAAGATATAGTGAATGGAGTCTGGAAATTACTCACCTGACTAACTACCAGGTGACTCAGGGCACACTAAATTATACTGAAGGCTCCATGGTGGTTAAATCTATCTCTATTGACTATAAAGGGGCTATAGACACTCGGACCTCATCTACACACTGGCATGTATGCGTTTTAGCATGCAACTTAATCCCATACCAGATGTTAAAATATGGACCATCTGTGTAACTGCAGTCCAGATGTCTCAAGCTATGTCTAAACCAGTTTGGCTCAAGTACACCCACTCCATACAGAGTTTACTCCTTGGTGCACACCACACTCTTACCCTTGTACATCTGTCTCTTCACAACAAGAACACTGATGTTCTCAAAGAACCCCTGAACCAAATCCCCAGAGATGAGTACCCTGGCCCAAAGCAAAATGCCAGAAGAGATTCTAGTTCTGCCCCCATGGACAACACAACCTATCCTCAAGCTGCAAGACTTACCTTGCCATGCCTTCTGTCTGTAGGTAACAGGCTTGAAACCTGAGTGTGAAGTTTGAACTTCAACCACAGGAATACAGATTTGACACTAACACTGACAGCCTAAGCTGTCTATTTTGCACTGTGCTGGTGTGGAAGGTATTGAGATTGCTGACCAAAACCACTTTGTATCATGCTGTTTCCATGAAAGCCAGTCTTGGAAACCAAACATACATAAACATTGTTGTACTGGTCTTTGCAGACTGCCCTGGTACATTTCAGAACTGACACGAATTTCCAAATATTTTTAAGAATTCTTCAGGTTTTGTTTATTTTTCTTTATTTTTTTTCCTTGATTTTTATTTATAAATTTTCACAACCTTTTTTTCTATAGAAAATGGTAACAGAAGCCTTATCACAGGCTCTTGTTTCATGGACCTTTAAATCTCTTCAGGGTGACACTGGAAACCAAGGGCTTCTTATGTTCATAAAGCTCCATGCCGTATCTAATCTATATAACAAAGGACAGGAAGAGAAGGAAAATCAGCCTCAAAGTCCTCAGAGTTAAAGGTCCAAAAGGGTGAGGAATGCTGACAGAGGGGAGGTATGTGCTGCAGCCCAGCAAGAGACTGCAGTGGTGCTGTAAGTGCAGTGCTTAAGCAAGGCTGTCCTGGTAACTGGAAACAGCCAGAGCACTCTGTGTCACCATGACTGCAAAGGACATTAAAGACTATGACAAATGTGTTCAACAGAGCACACTCAGGCAATGTGCTGAAAAATGAAACTACATAAAGGTATTGGGGGGAACAACTGGTGCTCAGGGCTCCTTGGCTCTGCTTTTTGTGCTGCCATTTCTGGGGTCCAGCTTCCTTGGGAGCCAGGACTGAAGAGCTGAGCACTAGGTGTTGTGTCCCTCATGCAGCCCAGCCTCATCAACTTCCTGTGATCCTGAAAGGACAATCTGCAGAAGCACAGACTGAAGCCTGGAGATGTTTCCAGGGAAGAGATGGGTCTCACCATATGTACAGGGCACTTTTATAACCCTGCCCCTCGGACTGAGACTGAGAAAACAACAACCAAGCCAATGACAAAGGGACAAAGGGTCACACCGCCAAGTAAGGCAGTTGTAACTAATGATATAAATACACTTTGAACAAGACATCTTTATCAAGAGAGGAAGTTTTAAGAGCTACAGTGACCAGGCAACATGGGAGAGAGGAGGATAAAGAGGGACTAAGATAAGGCTAATGAAGAATGACAAATAGAGCCAAGTGGCTTTTTCCTGTTAAAGAAAACCCGTCCCTTCTACTTATCAGGCTCAAGGACAGAGAGGGGACTTTCCTGAGCAAAGGAACCCCAGCAGCAAAGTCAACAGGCACCATAGAGACCCAAACCCTCTCCTTTACAAACATGGGGTGAAGCTCCAGTCCAGCCGCAGGTAAGCCTTCTCCCCATGGGAAACCTGAAAGAGAGAATATTAATTATTTCCACAGGGCATGGCATCTCCCTTGGGGCATGGGCCGCCCTGGGCAGTCCCTGGCATGCAGGCAGTGCTCCAATGGCTCCTGGCACAGCTCTCCCTGGAGTCACGCTCCCTACTGCTCTCCCTGGAGTCACGCAAAGCCAAGTGCAATCAGATGCAGGTTAATCCCTGTGAAAACATATTTGATTGCCTAGATTTGTAATTTTGTTATTCCAGAAAAGTTCCAAGAAGGATAATAAACTGAAAGGATTAATTAAAGAGCAAGAATTAATCAAAAGCAGAGCAGTACTTTCTGGCTAACAGACCCTATTGCACTTGCTGATAGAATTGTTTTCATCTCTCCATGATGTGGTTTTAATTTCTAATAATTGAGGTCCCTCCAGCCATTTGCAAGCAAACTTTCCTGGCTGTCACCCGACCCAAACCTCTCCACTGATGACTGCCTTTCTCGTGGATGGGAAAAGCAGTATGCTCAGCAGCAGTGCTGGGAGACCAGGAAGAGCCTGTCCCAGTAACTGGCTGGCTCAAACAAAACTGAAGCCAGTGGAAAGAATCCAAATGACTTTCTAGGGCACTGGCTCTGGGCTCTTGAGATTTTGGGCCAAGACGACAGGACTAGAAATCATAGGAGCAGGTGTGAAGGTCAGGGAGAGAGAGCACCCATTGCACAGCCCTCCTGCAGAGCAGGGTCTGCCTCCGCCGCACCATCCTGATAACAAGTGAGCTGTTGCTAAGCAGTGCCAGGACCCTGAGACCAGTCATAGCCCTGAATTAACTGACCTGACCAACCTGCCCTCTCTGCACTCATGCTGTAAGTAGTCTCCAGTCCTGTCTCTGGTTCCATGTCCAGATGCTCCTGAGCAGGCTGCTGAATAGATCCCAGATTTTGCCTTGTCCAGTGGCCACTTGATGGTCAGCAGAGCTAGTCACTGCTCCTGGCCCACCTGTGACTGTGCCCTGTTAGGGATGGCACTGCCTGTGCTGAGATCATCCTCAGCTTCCAACTTGTCCTCTCTCAAGGAGCAGCCCCACTCTTACTACAGCTGAGCAGGCACTTCAATACCATGCACCCAGCCTGTGAACGAGGACCCCAGGAGTAGCTCTTGCAGTCACCCAAAAGTGCTTTCCATACTCTGATTCACTGACCTTTCCGGCTTTGGCAAGTGAACAGCTTTCCTATGAGCAAGGCAGAAGGCACAAGTCTCCTCACTTGCAAGTCAAATCTAGACAGCTGACCTTCAAGGGCACCTTGAAGACATTGGCTGTTCTCCGGACAAAGAGGGATTTAGTTTCCAGGCCAGCCAACTCAATACTCCATTTAATTTTAAACTCTGAAGAAAGGGGTTAAGTGAAAGGTTGGGTTTGCATACAGATATAATTAGATTAAAAATAAAGTGTTATGTCACAGTAAATTATATGTTGTATAAAAACTAAAAAAAAAAACCAAAACAGAAGAAACTAAAAAAAAATCCTAGCAAAACAAACAAACAACAACAACAAACACAAAACAAAACAAAAAAATCAGCTCCATTACATACATCCATACACTTCCATGTTGTTTTCTAGCTCAGCTCAGACTAAAGGACATGGGCATTCTTATCATTTGATCTCAAATTCAGATTTGGGAAATCTGGATATATCATTTAAGGCCTAAGGTATCCAGCAATTAGGTAAGGTTGTAATGGCCCATTTCTCAGACCTGCTGTCAGTTTTAGCACATTGTTGTTTACAAAATATGTGTACAGCTCAGATTGATACTCACTTGGTATGATGTGCAGGTAGATCATCACCTGAAAGTGTGTCCAAATAGCAAAACATTATTAAATATTACTTTGTTTCGATAAGGCTGAAAAAAAAATTGAGAAAGTGCTAGTGGCAATCAAAAGATGTGTGGGAAACTCTTGGTAGCTGTTCTTCCGAACAGGAAGATTTATGACCTCTCAAAGGAGTTGCAGAGGGACTTCCTAGCTCTTACATCCAGGCAACGAAACACATGGTGCTGAAAAGTGGTAGTTGCTAAGAATATCTGAAATAAGTATTCCACATGGCATCCTTTGTGTTTCCACGTGGAGCCTGTTTGACCTCAAAAAGCTAGTCCTTGTTATCACTTTTATCCCATGCAGATATAAATGTTCATCTCCATTTCATGAGCATATACACTGAGATGCAGCTTCAAGGCAGCCTGTTCTCCACAGGCTGAGATGTGTAGAGCATGCAGGTCTGTGCCATACTGCACAGCTACCACATCACTTAGGATATCTCATGATATTTGTTCCAACAACATTTCAAGTACTCCTCTTAACAATAACTTAGTTTTGTGTTTTAATAAAAAAAGGCAGATGTAGGCTGCAACAGAACAATGCCCTGCGTGAAATAACTTTGAACTCCGGGCAAACATGCTTTAATAGACTTCCCTCACATATCATTTAACAGGATTTTCAAATGTACAGATGCTATCCAGTTACCATCACTTCGCTGGCAGCTGCTTCACAGACTTTTTCTACAGTAAAAACAAGCCATCAAAAAATGACAGCGGAAGAAAAATACGGCCAAAATGATAGCATTTGGTAAAAGTATCATCTGCTTATTTAAAAGCAACAAGCATTTAATATCCTGTAGTCCCTCTTGTTTTTCAAACTTCATACAGTTCTGAGATATTTGCAGAACAAAGGTCCCAGAAATCCCAGGCGAGGAGAGAGATCCACTGCTGCAGAAACAAACCCAGAATGAAACAGCTCGTCAATGAGATCAGCAAAGAAATGTCACTCACTCCACTGTGTCACTGCAGTTAGTGTATAGAGCTGCCTCTTTGCCCATCAAAACCCCCTACTTAGAGAGAAGGAGGGGAACTAGCTTAAAATCCATGCAAAAAGTTTGGAAAATACTAACTTGTGTCAATTCATGCTGAGCAAAGGTTTCACTGTAAAGAGAGCAGAGGGACCCAATAGATCTGAACATGTGGAAGTGCTTCTTTGTCAATCCAAAGGTTTTAGGGAAGCTAAACCAGGCTTATTATTGAATTTCTTTTTGTATGCTGTAAATTACTAAAGAGATGTCCCAGATTTCAAAACCTAGCCTGAATTTCAACCTCCCAAAGAGCTAGGCTGATTGATTCTGCGGTTATAGTTCAACTGCTGTCACAGAGCCAGCTGCAAAACTGGCATATGGTTCCAGCCTCAGATTTTGATTATTTTTGGACCAAAAGCCATGTGCATCTGGAGCTGGGATTTTACATTATATCTCTATTAAGCAACATTTTGCAAATGCTCAGCCCAGAAGGAGAGAGTACATACCGAGGGGCACAGACTCTTTTAGAACAAAATTGATTTTTAAGTCTCAGGTTCCCATCTTCTGCATTGTCAGGACCTGAGCAGAACTGAGAGCTGCTTGTAGGTGAACAGCAGCTGCCTGCAGCCCACAGCTTGGGCATCAGCCTTGACAGAGCAGTCCAAGACCCCATCTGGGTTCTCCTCCTCTCCCTCTGCAACAGAAATTCTACACAGGTATCCCAAGGATGCAGTCAGGCCTCCCAAACTGCCCACATCATGTGTCTAACAGCAAACAGGACCACAGGATTGTGAACCTCTCTGTGCAATCCCACCATGCAAGCCAAATCTTCCAACCTTGGTAC